GCTGCTCTTCTGGCACCATTAGCAAAGAACCACACCCAAATCCAGAGGTCACCAGCTGTGCCACATAAAGGAAGGTTCTCAATTCTCAATTCCTTTAGCAGCAATGGGTTTCCAAACAGACTCATTTGACACCATATCCAGCTGTCGGACCCTTGGCCAGTTACCTAACCTCCGAACGTGTCATCTTCCCCATCTATAAAATGGGTCTCACTCTTTTACACCTCACAGGCTTGTTGTGAAGGTTCAGTGAGGGAAAATGTCTGTAAAGCACTTAGCACAGTAGGACAAATCACAAGCTCTCAAAAATATCAGCTGGCAGTAAGTAATGGTAGCAGTAGAAATATGATTCTGTCCAGGGTCAAACTCAGTTTGATGAGCTAAGCTTCAATGAGCTGTCATCCAACTTGAAAATCACCGGAAACAATTGAATCCTCTATGGAAGAGTTGCTCAGGCCCAATCAATACTTCCTCTTTCTCCTTCATGGTGCTGGAAGCTCCCTAAGTCTTACTCATTTCTCTGTCTCAGCATTTAACATGGTGAGTAGCATATGGCAGATGGTAATAAATCTTCATTGAACTGAACAGAATTAGTTCAATGTTTGGAAGTACATTTCATCTTTGCTACTAGATTATAAGTTCTTTACGAGTGAGGCCCATGTCTTTCTCTAGTAAAGATTTATTAAATGAGTGATGGAAAAATACCAAACCAAGAATCAGGTTTCTAAGATCCAGCTCAGTCATTCAACAGCTGTGCAACCTCGACAAAGTCACTTCACACTTCTGCGCCTTATTGGTCCCACCTCAAAGATGAGAAGTTTGAACCACATGTTTGCCATGGTCCCTTACACTCTCAAACTAGATTTGGGCCTCAGCTGCAACATGGCACTTCAGCCACTGTGCACCAGCATGCCCCGTGATGTCAACATGCCCCCTGGCTTGGCAGGCCTGCTTGCTAATTTTTCTCCCTGATTTGCAGTTTTCCAGCAGGAGGCTATGAATAGCTTTGGGCTGGTGCTTAAAACACCCATTTTTGGTCAAATCATTGGCTTGTTAGATAAAGATGCCCCATCATGCAAGCTAATGCTCTGGTGGCCAAGGGCACCATGGCAGACTGTGGGGGAAGGGCACACTCTGCCCATCAGTCCTGCCACTGCCATTCCAGACTGCCCCCCAGGGGACGCTGCCTCCAGCTCACACCACACCACCTACTGCTCACCTGAGAGAACCTTCTGCAGGGAGAAAGTCGAACTTGGCCCTTGACATCGACGTGATCACAGGACACCTCTTCCCCCAAAAGTGTGTGGTTTGGGTTTTGGGTTTTTTGACAATGCTTTGTGTGGCCTGTAGGTCCAGGGAGCTTAGCTCAAAGAAAATGCAGGCTGAATTATGACACAGAGGCTCAACCAATAGGCCTATCAAAACAAAAGTTGTGCAATAAACGAGGCCCAAATTCAAGACTTTAGAATGCATTCACATCCTATCTGAATTTGGCTGATTATCTCACCTTCCTGTGGACACACCTCCCTAATTAATTTGGCATTTATTTTATTACTCTGATAACTTGATTATTTCTTCTATCTCTCTCTGCATGATACAGTGCATTATGTCTCTCTGATGGTCTTAAAATCTAATTAAACCTTAAAATGAGTTGAGAAAAAAAATCTGCTAAACAGAGGAACTAAATTGATTAATGTCCCCTTCTGAGGTTTTATAAAGATCATTCTATTCAGTTCTCACAAGTCCATGAAGTTGGTACCCTTAGTAGCTCATTTTACCGATGAAGAAGCTGAGGTTTCAAAAAGTCGCGTAGCTTGCCAAAAGACACAAAGCTAGGAAGGGGTAGATCAAGGATTTGAACGTAAGCCAGGGCTCTTAGCCTTTCTGCAAGAGTGCCTCATTTTTGAGCTTGTTCATCTCTGGAATAAGCCACTCTGAGTCCTGTTCTCATGGACATGCTTTAGCAGAGGCTGCAAGACCACAGGAGGATGCCTGGACCACGCAGAGGGTTGGACCTGCTGACTCCAAGCGTCTGACACTGTACTTCTCTTCAGAACTGCCTTTCGTGGCACGTAGAAAATGATGCTGTCTTGCACTTTGTTTTATTCAGAAAGTCCTTCCAGGTATGCAATTAAAAACCACCACATGCTCATTTTTCAGAAACTTCTCTCCTCTCTGAGAAGGGCCCTTGCTCTCAACAGGGATGTTGATTTCACAGCATTTCATATAGCCCCATACCCGGCACCTGTCTTGGGCCACTCACATTGGTAAAACACGTTACAACCACTGCTGTTCTTGAGCGATACCGTAAAAAGCACTGGTGCAAATGAAAATAGAGCATCACTTCCAAAGTCTACCCAAAGATCAGAAAGGCTAACCTCAACCCCACCTTCAAAGCAAGTTGTGAATGTTTAGCACCTCATTGCTACCAAAAGAAAACTCCAAGTTCATGTTTTAGATGAAAATTTCTTGCTGCTGTTAACAGTTTCTGAGTCACCAGGCACTGTACAGGCAAGAACAACTTGTTGACAAATTTTTTGTTTGTTTGGTGTTACTTTCTGTTCAGCTAGGCACAGGAAATTTTCCACTTGACAATTCCTGTTTCCCACTTAAGTTCTTACATGATCTGTGAGCACTGTGCTCAGCAGGGGGAGTCGGGGGGGTATTGTGGCAAAAAGGACTTCACTTCCCTAAACCTCAGTCTTCCCATCTGTTTTATGCAAGGTTTTCACCCAGGGATCTGGCTAACATGCTAAGCTTAGCTATCAAGAAGAAAGCAGCCCCGTGAATAAATGAAGCATTTTGGAGACTGCCAGTTTCTCGGCGTGGGTCTGCTGCCAGATTTAAAATCTTTACATAATTTGGGGGTACAACAAGAGATTTAGCTGAAATTAATAGCACAATGGGAAACTGAGCTAGGACTGAACAATAACACAGCGGGACTTCAGGCTTGCGGCTGAGAAATAAGCCTCTCTCGTTCTCAGGGCGCCCCCTCGTGGCCGCTTGACCAAATCCTTACGGAATGTTCAATTTCTGCAAATACAGACATCCCCCACAACAGGAAGGCAGACTCCTGCCTACTAATGCAAGTCCCTTTCAGTCTAACGTAGTCTGTGGATCAGGCAGCTTCACGAACTCCTGACAGGAAGTCCCACTGACGCTCAGAAAGCAGTCTGCCATAAAATAAGGGTTGGTTCTTTAGAAGGGTCTGAAACAGTACCCCAGCATTTAGACTTTGGGGTCCCTTCACAGACCCCAGACACACACTTACTACTTCAATAATCCCTCATAGTCTCACATTCTCAACCTGCAGCTCGAACCGTGTCTATTTTTCATTATTCTGCTTTCCACTTTCCCAGTATGATTCTTCAGAAGCTATTAAGACAACATGAGCAGGGAGCTAAGCTTGGTTTTTGCTTATTCAACATCCAGCCTAGGGAATATCACCTCAGAAGAAAAGCATGAATGAAGTGCACGTTGCCCAGCCTCTTCTTCCACAAACCTGAAAGTGCCTTCATCAGAGGCCAGCCCTACAACTCTCCCCTTCAACATTTTCATTCTACAGAAATGACACCTGCCGAGAGTGAATGATCAGCTACTTGCTTGCTGTAGAACTTATTACAGAGCCAGCTTCAAAAAGAAATAAATGACCTCCCCATTTCCAATTAATTGATAACACACTTTCAAAAAATAACGTTATAGGATAAAGTTTTATAGACTCAAATACAGAATCCGAGAAATGGGGGCGGGGGGGCTGTTATCCAGGTATTCCAATAATTCAGAATTTGGGGACTAAACTTTGCTGACTGGCACCCCCATTTTTTTCACAGACCTGTCCCTGCCTAAATGCAAAGGAAACATGTCAATTCCAACCTGCTATTTTATTTGACAGCCCATTTTCCTTTTTCCCTGCAGTCATTTGTTGTTTATAAGCAACTCTGAGCCTCCAAAACACCCCCAAAAGTGCACACAAGGAGTCCCATAATTAGTTTCTGACTTTGGCCCTAAATCCATTAGAATACATCTGATCTGCTTCAAATCAAAGAACCATGTTAATTTTCTGCCACACACCACACAAAATCTTTCTGCAACAGTCACTTTGAACCCAACTCTCTAGCCACAAGCAGTGTGGATTTCAAGGGACTGTTCTGCAGAAGTGAAAATCACAACAAACCAAGGCTGGGACAAGGCAGACAGACCCCAAGGCACTCAAAGCACTCCTTGGAGCTGTGCACATGGTGCCAGGACCCTGGCAGGGTGTCAGCTGTCAAAACAGCAGCGGGGCCAGACCCCGTAAGCAGTTTGGTAGCCCTGCAACCAGGAGCTGAAACAGCAACTGAGCCTGCTGCATGGCTACCCATGCCCTGGGCATTTCAGTCCTCCCAAAGCCACTATGCAAACTGTTTGAATCCTCAGGCTGGCAGTAGCCTTTATTTTTGCTCCCTAACCTTCTCTCTTAAAAACAGGCAAGAGTCGCCTCTCTTGCAGCCACAGCAGCATCAGAGCGACGCAGAGTCTGAGTGGAAGGATGCAGCCCCCGGGGCTGCGGGCAGATGGGTGGAAGGGGAAGGAATACCTCCACTACATGGGATTTGAGGGGCTAGCTCCCAGCTGGGAATGCGGTTCTTGGGAGAGTTGCGGAAATAAGCCGTTTCGGGGCATGGTCTGAAGGTGTGCTCGCGAGGGAGACCCCGGCCGTCCCAACTCTGCAAAGTGTTTGCAAATCTAAAACACTCCTTTGCTGCTGGGAATAAATTTTTAGAAAACAAACCGAAAATTAAAAGAAAATAAGTGCAGACAGGATGTAACAAGTGTTTCGGGACAGAGACACGCCTGAGTCACAGGGTGCTGGGGAAAGAGTGAGGAGTCTGCCTCGGGGCTTCCCAAGGAGCCCCTTCTCTGTCAAGAGAACTCCAGGGCGCACAGACCCCCATCTCACACGCCCTGGGTCCCCGGCCCCGTCTAGTCCGCGCCCCCCGCAGCCCACAGATTCGCTCACTCACCACTCGGCCCGAAAACCTCTCAGTGGCCCTCTTGACTTTGCCGTAGGTGCCTTTGCCCAGGGTCTCCTGCAGCTCGTAGCGGTGCTTCAAGTTGTGCTTGTGGTGATGCCGCTTCACCCCGTGCGGCTTCCTGGGCTCCGGGGCTGCCGCCGTCGCGGGGGCTGCAGTCGCCCCCGCCACCGCCTCCCGGGGAGAGCCCAGAGCCCCCGGCCCCGGATCCGGACGGTCCCCCGCCACGGGCGCAGTGGCCCCTTCCATGTCCAAGCGCGCGGCAAGCCGGGCTGCAGAGTGCACGACTGGGCACAGCGCTCGGGTGTCGGGGGTCCCCACCAAGGGAAGCTCAAGGTCGCCCCCGCGGCATCAGGGAGGCGGCCCGATCCCGCTCGGGCTGCGGCTAGGTCACTGGCGGCGGCGGGGACTGCACATCTGGCGCCCGCGGCGCGCACGGTCCGCGCACCGCCCCCCGGCTGCGGCGAGCTGCGGAGCGTCGGGCGAGGTGGCGGCGGTGGCAGGGGAGGCGGCGGTGTTTGCAGGAGGGAGGGGAGAGGGTGGCTCCGAGCTCAGGAGGGGGAGTGTTATGTGGGGCGCCGCGCCCCCCAACCCCTCCCGGAGAGGACGCGCAGACGGGGCGGGGGCGGGGGCGGTGCTCGCCAGGCCCTGGGGGAGGGGGAGCGAGGGGCGGCGGCCAGGGCTTCCCCCACCTCCCTACCGCCTCCCCGGGCCGGGGCTGGAGCCCCGGCGAGCTGGGAGGGGGATGGGAGCGTGTCGCGACTCGCTCTTTGTGCGGCGCGGCCTAGGCCCCGGGGCTTTGTCCTCGCTGGGCCCGAGGGGCCCGGAAAATTCCGAGCCGGGCTCCCCTCCCCGGGCGCTCTCGGGCTCGCCAGCCGCAGCTACCGCAGGCCATGCGCCTCCTCGGGCTCCAGCTCCGGCTGCTCGGCCTGGATTCCTGCTAGCGCCGGGGCGGAGCTTCGGGCCCGGGGAAGCTAGATCGCCGCGAGCCGGGGGCCGCGGGGACCTGTTCGCGATCCCGCCCGGGGCGCCTCGGGCCCGAGCGCCCCTTCATTTTCTTGTAGGTGTCGCCGCAGCCTGGCGGCCGGAGCTGAGGGGAGGCGGGGGTGGGGAGGCCTGGTGTTGTGTTACAAGCGGTGACTCAGGCCCCTGCCTACCGAGGCCCGCACCCCACGGGGCAGAGCTGCGCCCGCCTGGGGCAACACCGAGACCCGGAGAACCCCAGGAGTGGCGCTTTGGTCCTGGCCTCCGCGCCCTCTCCAAAGAACAGGAGAGTCCGGAACGGAGGGAGGCCGGGAGGCTGAACCCGGGGCCCACCGCCGAACCGCCGGTCCTCCGACACCATCTGGACCCCGGCAGGGACAGCCGCCTGCAAGGGGTGGAAGGCCGGGGACGTGGAAGAGATGGGGCTCTAAAGGCGGCAGGACGGAGCTGGCTCACCAGAGGCGCCCACCCTGCCAGCGAAGGGCGCCATCAGAGGTGGGCAAACCAGGCACCTGGGGTGGACCAGGGCCCCGAGCCTGCTGAGCAACCCCTTTGCTGAGCAGCAGGCGACTCGCAGGCCTCTTGCCTCCTTAGGCCTTGGGAGATTTCCTTTCACTGGAAGGGCCAGATCCTGGCAATGGTGACAGCGGTACCCCACACGGTAAGGGTCAGGCAGGAAGGGCCTCCCACCGCGGCGTGGCTGCCCCCGTTCTAAGAAGAGACAGTGAAAAATAAGGAAGAAGCTAGAGAAAAAGAGGTCTTAGGGATGTTTTTTTAAAAAAAAAAAAAAAAAAAAAACACATGGTGCAATATACCCGACTAGGGTGGGAAGAGTGAAGGCTGAAGAATGTCTGGTGTGTTCTGCAAATTGCATGGCGATTCTTTCCACCAGTGGACCTCGCTGGAGCCTCCCCTGCAGCTCTCAGGTCCAGCCCTTCCTCTCCATTCCCGCCGCCTTCATTCCTGTCTACTCCCCATCACCTTACCAGGACTCCTGCAAGGGCCGGCCCTCCCCAGAGCCTCCTCACTGCTACCAGAGTAATAACCTGAAACACTGCCCTGATCATATCCCCACACACGTGCCTCTGCTCTACTCTGACGCCTGATAGTCTTACCTGTCCAAACTTTTCTTCAAGTGATGTGACACAAACTCCCCTGCCCCTCCTCCCTTCCCCAGGAGCAGTCACAGAACACAAACACAAAGGCCATGGCTTTTCAATTATTATTCTATCCACCGCATTTGCAGGGCCTCCCTGCCCCCATCCTGAAACTGTTCTGCTCCTATACAAAGTTTATGGATGTTGTGCCTATAGATTCCACAGTCAGGATGAGTGGCATGCAGGTTGAATCCTGGTTTCCTAGAGGATTGGCTGTGTGACCTTGGTCAAATGACCTAACCTCTCAGAGCTTAGGTTTCCTCTTCTTAAGATACGGATTCGCAGATTTATTGTAGAAGTAAACACATTGTGTCTACAGTAGTATTTTAAAATATTTTCTACTTTTTCCCCTCCCCTGGGATGTAGCAGACATCCACTACCCCATCCTCTTGAAATTAGATGTGACCACAGGACTTGCTTAGGCCCATGGAATGAGAGCACAAGTGATTGTGTTGCTTTCACGTGGAACCTGTAGGAGTCATGAGCAAATTCTCATGTCTTCCTTTTGCTGCCTTGACAATCATGGTGGTACAAAGTTGAAGCCTCCACAAGCCAGCCTGAGTCTGGCATGACAGTCCCATGATGGCATGATAGTCCCATGACAGTCCCAAGATGGCAAAACAGTCCCAGCCAATCTGCATTGAAAAAGTAGCACCAGCAAATATTAAACTTGTATTATGTTAAGCCAGTGGGATTTGTTAAAGCAGCATAACCTAGCTTACTCTGGCTGGTAGTATTACTCCCAAATTTGCAGGACTTCGTCAGTATCTACTGAATGAACAGCATCTACCATCTGGTACTGTTTTATGATAATGAACTCTCCTCTGTAAAGTAGCTATTTACAATCCCTATTTTCTTTTTTTATATATTTTCTTTTTCTTTGTTTTTTTTTTTCCTGAGATAGAGTCTCGCTCTGTCACCCAGGCTGGAGTGCAATGGCACCATCTCAGCTCACTGCAACCTCTGCCTCCCAGGTTCAAGTGATTCTCCTGTCTCAGCCTCCCAAGTAGCTGGGATTACAGGCGCCTGTAATCACCTGTAATCACCACACAAAAAAAATTAAAATTTTTGTATATTTAGTAGAGACGGGGGCAGGGGTTCACCAGGTTGCCCAGGCTGGTCTCAAATTCCTGATCTCAGGTGATCTGCCCACCTCAGCTTTCCAAAGTGCTGGGTTTACAGGTGTGAGCCACTGCTCCCAGCTACAATCCCTATTTTCAATTGAGGAAACCATATCCGAAAGATTAAGTAATTTCCCAGAGGTTACACAGTTTGTAATTGACAGCACCAGGATTTAAACCCTACCTGTCCAGTTCCAAAGCTCCCCCTCTTCTCCTTCCATATATGCCATGCTACATCTCCTTAAATAGGAAGGATGAAAAACACTCAGTACAATGCCTATCACACAGTCATGCCCAAGCACTGGGAGTTCCTCTCCAGACTGAATTCTGACCACATTTATAATTGGAACCACACTTCAGCACAATGTTATCAGGTATTGTGTGTGAATGTTTTCACATCAATAAAGCATTTCCTTCAATAAGAGCCCAGACTCCTCGATTAAAAGCTTGAGATCTAGAGGCAGAGTGACTGGGTTCAAATCCCTGTTCCACCACTTACAATCATCTTGGATCACTGTTTTCCGCCTCTATGCCTCAATTCTCTAATCTGCAAAGTGGGAACAATACATGTGCTATTGTCAATTACACCAGTAATACATCCCACAGGGTTGGTATAAGGATTAAGGGCTAGAATTGATATACTCAATAAATTCACGATTAATATTATGCTTTTCATCTTCCATGGCTCCTAGATGGATTTTCACTATTTTCACCCAGGCTGGAGTGCAATGGCATGATCTTGACTCACTGCAACCTCCACCTCCCTGGGTCAAGCAATTCCCCTGCCCCAGCCTCTCAAGTAGCTGGAATTACAGGCATGCGCCACCACACCCGCCTAGTGTGTGTGTGTGTGTGTGTGTGTATTTTTAGCAGAGACAGGGTTTCACCATTGTCGGTCAGGCTGGTCTCAAACTCCTGACCACAAGTGACCCGCCCACCTCAGCCTCCCAAATTGCAGGGATTATGGGCGTGAGCTACCACACCTGGCCTGGGGCAATTTTAAGCAGTTTATTCATACTGCTTGATTAGACTCTGATTTCTGCTATTGTTCTGAATACAAGACAGATGTAGTAACATTGGCACTTGGAAGTGTGACATCCACACTATCATATATCTTTTATTTACATAAGGCTCATTACTTGTCCTTCACTGCACTATTTTTAAAGCAGTTTAAAAGAAAGGTATGTTCGCTTTCTCAAGAAATTGTTGTTCAGGAATCCTGTCATTCAGGCAGCATGGATGAGCTTGGAGAACATTATGTTGAGTGAAATACGCCAGGCACAGCAAGACAAATACCACATGTTCTCACTCATATGTGGAAGCTAAAAAAGTTATTCTCATTGAAGTAGAGAGTAGAGTGGTGGTTACTAGAGGTTGTGGGAAGGGATGGGGAGAGCCAGAGGCTGGTTAACGAGTACAAAATTACAGCTAGATAAGCAAATTAAGTGCTCATGTTTGATAGCACAGACTACAATAATTTAATTTGAAGGATGCAATAAATTAATATATTGTGTAGTTTTAAATACACAAGATTATTATATAAATTAATAACTTATTGTATAGATTCAGATAGCTAGAAGAGCAGATTTTGAATGTTCGCAACACAGCAGAATGATATATGCCTGGTGTGTGAATAACCCTGATTTAATCATTACATGTTGTATGCATGTATGGAAATATCACATTGTGCCCCAAAAATATGTACAGTGATGTGTCAGTTAAAAATAAAAGAAAAAAAGAATGATTTGTTCAGAAGACATCATAATACTAGTCATTATTCATTTACTACCTACTGGCTGCCAGGACCTTCACACATGCATATTGCCCTGCTAATCATCATAAAACTGCAACATGGGTATTATGATGCCCATTTTGCTACTGAGAAATCTGAGTCTCATAGGGGCTAAGTTACCTGTGATCAAACAGTAACTGCAGTCAGGATTGGAACAGGAGCCTCTGACTCTAAGGCTTTGCTCCAGTCTCTATCCCAAGCTCATGTCAATCAATCCCTGTGCTTTGATAACTGTTCTTCCACTTTGCTAGATGAAGTTTTGAAAAGTTACCTAAGCCTGTGACATTTCTAACTTAAACATGTGGTCTGGTGGACAATTGAAATAGCAAGCTAAATAAGTGCTTAGTCTTCACTGTAGTGGAAGGAAGATAATGCAACCAAAAATTCATGCTTCTTCACCCGTAAAGCTGACCGACAGCTGCTCAGCCAGGGACACATTACCCAGTCTCCCATACATCCAGCTGTGGCCATCAGTCTAGGTCTCTCTAATGGAACATGAGCAAAAGTGACGTGCTTTGCTTCCAATCCGGGGTGTTTAAAAAGGGGGTATGCTTTCTCCACATTGTCTAGCTGGAAGCAGAGGACTTGAAGGCCCAGAAGACTTGAATGGTGGCCACAA